AGCCCAACAGCTCTGGCAGGTCTGTTTATTGCCAGGAAGGTAGCAGGTTGTGTCTGGAGGAAGGGGGAGGTTGGCTTGGAGTTAATGCTTCTTGTATCAAACTGCGACCTCCCCACTAAGGGAATGAATTGCAATAGATTGCTCACTTCATTAGCAGGGAAGGTAAGTGAGTGGGCTGGATCTCTAGGAGACACACACTTTATTTAGGCTGCCAGAAGAATTCTGGTGATGAATTGCTGCTGGTTCCTGACATCTGTGTTCCTAGTGGGGCCATTTTTGGAGGCCTGAAAGGTGCTTTGACTTTGCTGTCAACCTCTTGGCACCCCCAAGAAGGGGAAAAATCTGCAGGAAAACCTTCAGTAATGTGAGACCTGCTGGGCAGGGGGGGTCAGGAGGAGAGGCAGCTTTCAGTCTTAGCAAAGAACATGCTGCACTGTGTGTTGTTTTGGGGCTTTGTTTTTCCAAAAGGTGATAAATGTGGGTCCTGGAAATGCACCTTTTTTTAAATTGTTATTTTAAGCAATCTACTTCACACTCAAAGGACTTGAGAGATAATTAAATAGTGTGTTGTCAGGGGATCAATGGCCTCATGGAATCAATCTTCCCTTCTCTCTGGCATGTGTTTCTTCTAATAACATTTCTAAGCAATTGGTGATTCTTTCCCTGCTAAATGTTTTGGCACCAATCCCCAGATTCAACTAAATGATTTCCTTCAGCTTTTCTTCTAGCAGGTGTGCTTGCCCACTGTGGTGCCAGCATTAAACCTTTCATACCACAGTCGTCATGTGCATTATAGATGGGGCAAAGCCAAATTGTTATGAGTCTGGAACAAAACACAGCAGCACTGAACAACATGTAGCAAGTCCCTGAAACAGCTTGAGAAAGGAAATGGAGGTTCAGTCTGTGCTGCCTGATGGGCAGGGGATTAAGAAGGTGGAATTATTTTATTTAATGGTCCACTGCAAATGGGTTAGGTTCTGAATGCCTGTCAAATCACAGGTTTTCCCAAAGAGCTTGTAGGGTGAGTTATGCTGTTGCTTTTGTGGTGGCATCTCTGCAATCACTGGAAACAAGACAAGGAAGATGGGAAGTACTGGATCCAGTTCTGGAGCCCCTCAACACAGAAAGGACAATGAACTCTTGGAGCAAGTCCAGAGGAGGCCGTGAAGATGATCCCAGGGCTGGAGCAGCTCTGCTCTGGTGCCAGGCTGGGAGAGTTGGGGTGTTCAGCCTGGAGCAGAGAAGGCTCCAGGGAGACCTTAGAGCAGCTTCCAGTGCCTGAAGGGGCTCCAGGAAAGCTGGGAGGGACTTGGGACAAGGGTGTGTAGTGATAGGAAGAGGGGTAATGGTTTTATACTGGAAGAGGAGAGATTTAAGGTGCACCCTGCTTGGCTACACCACTTCCAGGCCATCTCCCAGCAAGTCCTGTTCCAGAGGTCTCTTCTATAACACTGGGTCCATAGTTTTTCCTCTCTTTCTCCCAAGGGTGACAGATTCCATCTCTCCAGGTGCCAGGAGGGGCACACTGAGAAACAAGAAGATGAACAGATGCACCAGCCTTGGTAAAGCCAGACAAAAATATCCTAGGGGGGACCCACAACATTTCTTCCCAGGCAGGGAAAGGGGCAGTAACTGCTCCCTGGGAGCTCCCCAAAACAGCTGTCAGTGATTCCTGCCTCTGGAGGTACCACAGAAGCTTTTCTCCCTTGGCTCACCTGATGCCTCATCACTTCACAGCTCTGTTTGCCAAGTGCTCTGTTGAGGTGTAGCTCAGTGCCTGGCTGTACCCAGGGTTGACAGGCCTGTGCCAGATCTCCTGCCCATGCCTGCTGTGCTTCCTTATGGAGCGTGTGTGGTGCTGCCATCTGAGGGAAAATGCTGCTTCTCTTCCCATCTCACAGGAGCATAGAACCCCAGGGGTTGGAAGGGACCTGGAAAGCTCACCCAGCCCAACCCCCCTGCCAGAGCAGGGTCACCCAGAGCACATCACACAGGAACGTGGCCAGGGGGGTTGGAATGTCTCCAGAGAAGGAGACTCCACAGCCTCTCTGGGCAGCCTGGCCCAGGGCTCTGTCACCCTCACAGCAGAGAAGTTCTTCCTGAGATTCACATGGAACCTCCTGTGCTCCAGTTTGCACCCACTGCCCCTTGTCCTGTCACTGGACATCACTGCACAAAGCCTGGCTCCCTCCTCCTGACACTGCCCTGAACGTGTTTGTAACCAGGGATGAGGTGGCCCCTCAGTCTCCTCTTCTCCAAGCCCAACAGACCCAGCTCCCTCAGCCTTTCCTCAGCAGGGAGATGTTCCACTCCCTTCATCATCTCTGTGGCTCTGCCCTGGGCTCTCTCAAGCAGTTCCCTGTCCTGGAACTGAGGAGCCCAGAACTGGGCACAACATTCCAGATGCAGCCTCACCAAGGTTCAAATAGCTGGTGAACCAAATGAACCAAGGAAGCTCAAATGTTGGAACAAAATTGACTTCAGTGGTCACTGGGTTGGGGAAGCAGCTTGTGGGGACCATCCTGTGGTTTTGACAAGGCTGTGGTGGTCAGAAGGAGGACATGGGTGGTGCTGAGCCAGCCTTGTGGTCCTCAACCTCCATCCATTCTCCAGACAGGAGCTGTGCTCCAGGTGTGCTTGTGCTGGAGCTACAAGCAGAGATTCCTGGGGCTGTTTGTGCTCACAGTCCAAGAGGGATTTACCCCCTGAGCTGCTATCCTGGCTTTATCCTGGAAGTGAGAAAAGTAAAGAAACTATTGAAATTCTTGGAAGCTCACGAGTCAAAAATCTATTCTTAGAAGCAGACTCAGATTACAAATAGATTCAGTTTACAAATGGGCTGCATTTCAGACCTGTGCTTAAACCTGCTCTAGGCAGAGGCTTAAATGCTTGCTCATCTGGGCACGTGCTGGGGCAGGGCTGTGGGAGATGGTCTTCTGGATAAAGACAAGCAGTCTTGCTCTTCCTCTCTTAAATGGTCCCTCAGTGGTGTTAAACAGCTACAGTTTTTTACCAGGTGTGTGTGTCTGGTGCCTGCAATGGGGTGTGACACGTCTGTGTGGGGTGTCCACACGTGTCCTGCCTGGTTTGGGGATGTCCAGCAGCCTCCAGCTCTTCCACTAGCTCAAAGCTGGGGGGAAGGGTTTGCTTGGGCCATGGGCCTTAGTTGTGTCCTGGGTTGTGAAGCTGATGCAGAGGGGGTGGGAGCTGTGCATGCAGGAGGTGCCGTTGCTGCTGAGGGGCAGGTGGGAGCCAGTGGGGCTGAGGTGGAGCCTGATTTGTGCAGAGCAGTGCTGGGGAGAGGGTGAGGGGTTGTGGTGGGAGCATGGGGGCTCAGCCTCGTGCAGGGGCAGTGTCACTGAGCAGAGGTGCCAAGAGAGAGGGGCTCTCACCAGCTTCTCAGGGGTCACCTTGGACAAGGTGTTTTCTGCCTCGCTTCTCTGCTTGCTCTTTCTCATTGGTGTTTCTTGAGGGGAGCACCATCTCTCTGCATGTGTTTAGCACCTGGCACGAGGGCAGGTAACTGGATTCCCCACCTACTGAGGTCGGTGTGACTGGTTTACCAGTGTTGAGCTGCATGGATGGTCCCACTCTGCCTCACAGTGGTCAGGTAGGTCCCCTGTGTGTGCCACTGTCCTCCTCCACCTGTGATCACCCAAAAGGTGCAGTCTGTGCCTTGTGGTGCAGGTCACCTGCCTGTGGAGGTGGCTTGGTGGCCAGCAGAGCTGTGTCCTGCAGGGCTCCTAAGCAGGGGAGTCCTCTGGTGGCTGCTGCTCCAGTCCTGCACCAGCCATGGGGTTGTGCTGGGGGAGAATCACTCTGCTGGCTGGGAAGCTGCTTCACTTCCTCAGTCCTTGAAAAGCCTCAGTAAATGTGTGAAGGGCTACACAGAGTGTCACCAGCCTGCCCACAGCAGCTCTGCCTTCTGCTAGGGGAGGCTGTCACCAGCAAGACCCTGATGGGCACCACCAGCATCTTCTCTTCACTCCCTCCTCTCGTCTCTTCCTGCAGGGAGGCTGCTGGGGAGCCCTGGCCCAGCTTGTTGCCTGAGCCAGGAGCTGTTCTCCTTGCCTCCAGGCTCTCTGCTGTCACCTTCATGCATAAAACATCTCCCTGTTGACTGAGATCCCATCTCCTGGTGGCCTTGTCAAGGGAGCTGCAGGGGGATGTAAAAAGTGCCTTGTAAATCTCCGGCCTCTCATCCCTGGAAACTTGATTGTGCCTCCAAAGAGCAGCTCTGCTGCTGCTCCTGCTCTTCCAGGGATGACATTTAGCTGAGGCAGGATGGGAGCAGCACTTTGCCTGCTGCTGCAACAAGCCCTGCCTGGCCTCAGGGCAGGCTGTGGACACTGCCTGGTGCCCAGTGTGGAGATGGGGGCCCTGCCTGTGCTCACTTGCTTCTCCTGAGCCTGGAGTTACTCCTGTGTGGTAGAAACCCCAGAGGCTTGTCTTTGGATCCCATTCCTTTGCCAGGTGGATGGTCTGAGATTGTGTGAGGGCTGTTCCCCACCTCCCAGGTAGCTCCAGATGGGACGAGCAGCTTTCCTTCCACCCCCAGCTCATTGCCATGGAGCCCAGATCCCCATGGACCTGTCTGCCTGGCAGCTTATGGAGGGGATTGGGCTTGGGAAGCTGAGCTGTGCCCTGAACCATGGATGGACCCCTGTGCTGTGGTGCCCATTTGAGGGTGGTACTCTGGGGTGGGCAGCAGGCTCAAAGAGCTCCATCATCCCAATGACACTTGGCTGAGCAGGACTGGAGAGCACCCCTGCCAGCCAGGCTGGGCTCCATGTGCTCCAGGGAGAGAGGAGATTGTGGCAGGGGGTGTGTTTAAGGGACCTGGGGAGCTAAGGGGACAGGAGCTGGAGATGAGGAGGAACCCAAGATGTTGAAGTTGTCTGCAGTTGCTCTGATGGGGCTCTTGGTTTTGCAGCCCTTGTTTAAGTTCTCCAGGCACGTGATGACCTTGGGAGCATGTGACAAATTTGCAGCCAAATGTGATGGAGATGCTGAACTGGGAATTGGTGAGCTGGATTCTCTTGAGCTCTGGCAGGGAGGGACAGGAACATCACCAGGTCCGAGCTGGGACCCAGCCAACCCAACATTACTGATGACATTACCCTAATTGCTGCTGGTGTTTGTTGTTCCTGCTCACAAGCTTTGCTCAGCAGCTTCTGTGCTCCATGGGGAGAGGAAGGAGACCTTGCAGGAGCAGCTCATCAAGAGGAGGTATCTGTGGGAAGAGAAGTGAAAACAACCCCTTTATGAGAGCAGATCCAGAGCATTGATGTTCCTGAGGCCTCAGGAGGGACCAGCACTTACTGGAAGAACACCTATGTGTTCCTTTAAGTTAATTGTAAAACCTGTGTCAGCTTCTTACAGTGTAAACTGGAGAAGCAGAGGAACAGTTGCACAAGTTGCTGTTGAGGAGGGAACAGGAAAAATCCCAGCTCTTCCAGCAGCTTTTCATGCAGCTCAGCCAGTCAGTTGGGGTTGCTCTTTCAACCCCTGAAGCCCTGAGGCTGATTGTCCTTCCCCCTCCCCAGGCAGTAACCCCCTCCTCTCCTTTGCCTCCTCCTCCTGCAGGTCCTGAAAGGCTGCAAGAAGCTGAACCTGTCGGTGCACTCGGTGGGACGGATCCCGGGGGGCTACGTCACCAACCACATCTACACCTGGGTGGACCCCCAGGGCCGCAGCGTGTCCCCCCCCGGGGGGCTGCCCCACCACCAGCACAGCTCCCTGCGCAGGGACAGCGAGAAGAGGAGCCACCTCCAGCTCCTGCAGGAGGGAGATGAGAAGAAGGTGAGCAGGGGGGGATCAGCCTCAGCCCTGGGGGCCTGTCTGGGCTCACCTGTGACCAGGTAGGTGGGAACTCTCTTCCTTTGTGTGATCCTGACCCCTGTTGGGATGTCCTGTGTCACCTTTAGGAGATGTTAGATAGTTGTTTTCTCCCCAGCTCTGTTGCTTCTCCTCTCTCTCCCCTGGAGTCCTGCAAGAACGGGAGGGATTTGCTTTGTTCCCACTTGGCACAAGTACAACCCAAACTGGAGACCAGATGCAGACCTGTCTGGCAGTGAGGGCCATCCCAGGAGCAGTGCTCAAACCAGGAATTCCTTGTAAGGCTTCTCCTGAGCAGGTTGTTGTTTGGGCTGGAGCCTCTTGCCAGCAGGTCAGTAGGGGCTGACATAGATGTCATGCTCAGGAGGACTCATGGACTTGGAGAGCTAGACCTCAGAGTGTGTCATTATCCTTCTTCCTGCAGCTCAGATCTTTCCTCAGGGCTTTCTGTGAGGCTTTGTCAAGTCTCTTAATGGTTTCATCTAAACCAGAAACCTGATTTTTTTTTTCTTCCCAAAAGGCTATAAAAATCAACCTGATGATTTTCCTTCTCCACGTGGGGAGAGGCAGAGTGAGGCAGGAGGGGCCTGAGCAGTGGCTGTGCAAAAAGCCCTGGCCAAGGAAAAAGGTGCAGGGAAGGGAATGGTTTTCATAAGGGTATCCAGGGGAGCTGGTGCTGTTGGTCAGTGGTGGCCACTCCAGCAGGGCCTGGGTCTTGGCCTTTGACAGAGAGGAAGGTCTATGGACACATCTAATTCCCAGTGCTCTTCTCTTACTGGGACCCTGCCCTCCTGTGGAACAGGCAGCACTGGCAGTGAAGCCAGAAGAGGCTTCAAGCTGCAATATCTGATTTTTGGGGATTTGGTGTTTCTTTTTCCTTACCCTTCCCATGCCCAAAAAGATCTAGAGACCTGCAGAGGAGCAGTGCTCAGGTGCCCTTGCAGCAAAGCACAGGCTGGAGGGGCAGCCTCTGCTCTTTCTCTTGGTGGTAATGAGTAGGGAACCTGTTCATCTGGTACAAGCAAGACTTGGTGGTGCCTCACCAGCATTCCTGTGTTGTCCAAGTACTGTCCTGTGAGTGTGAGGGGCACAGACCTGCTTGGACCCTTGACATATTTCCACCTTGGTACCCTGAGATCACTGTGGCTGCCCCCATGGGCTGCCAGAAGTGTCCTCAGTTCCACCCAGAAGGGCTGAGAAGGGATCAGTTAAGCTGGACCCTCCCACCTCAGTCAGAGAGGGGGGGAAAAGATCTAATAGAGAATGAGGGAGTTTGCTGATGAAATATTCATGTGGGCCACAAGGGAGAAGGGACTGTTATTTTTACTTTAAGGAGAAGAGAAAAGCTTCTGGCTTCTGGTGTCCCCTACCACTCAGTGTCACCTTGATACAGCTGGCAGCCACTCTGTGAAGCTGTAGGGAGATGTTTCTCTGCACATCATCTCTTTCCTCCTTGCTATGTATGGATGAGAAATGCTTAGAAGCCCATAACTTCACATCCCTGCCCAGAGCCCTGGGTGGCCCCAGGCAGCCCCTTCCCCTCAGTCCCTAGGGAAATGGGACCACAGGTGCCTTGGATGTCTCTGGGCAGCTTGGCTGGTCATCAGACCAAAGCACCCTCTTCTGGAAGTGTCCAAGGGCAGGTTGGATGGGGCTTGGAGCAACATGGTCTGATGGGAGGTGTCCCTGCCCATGCAGGGGGTTGGAACTAGATGATCTTGAAGGTCCCTTCCAACCCAAGCCATTCCATGGTTCTCTGTGCTGCTCCTGGTCCTGTGCTCATCAGGGCTGGCTCCCAGGGGGGCACAGGAAAATTAATCCAACTGAACTTAGTGAGTTAAAAGAGCTTTAATTACCACAGTTTAATCCTCTTTGGAAAGGAATGAAGCCAAGTTGAGTGAAGGCCACATTAAACTTGGAAAAGCCTTCCTGCTGGGCTTGGGTGCTGCTGCATTCACTCAATCCCAAGGTGTGAAGGGCCCCAGCTCTGAGCTGCCCACTGTGGCTCCTTTCTAGCTGCCCTGGGCTGCAGGACCTTGGCACGCAGAAGTAGCTGCCCTTCTTTTGAGCTGTGCTTCTCTGGTGCCCATGCTGGGAAGCCTCTTCATGGCAGTGCTGCACTTGCAGAGCACTGGGAAGGTTTACCAGCCTTAGGTGGGAGTGTTCAGGGTGCCAGCAGCTTGGGGCTTGCTGGCTTCAGGATCTTTTGCCCAGGTTTGAGGAGTGGTGAAGAGCCTCACACTCCACCTGGCTCTTCCAAAATCAGAGCTTCCTCTTCTATTCCTTGGTGCTGCTTCCCAGCTGGACAGCCCTTTGACTTCTTGTAGTGGAGGATTGTGCTTTGAGCCCAGGGCAGGGGGGTGAAGGCCACTCAGGCAACCTGGGAAGAGTCAATGACCATTGCAGGAACCTTTTGAAAGTCACAGAAATGGGTGTGCAAAGAGCTGGTGCAGAGGGCAACGCTGGCATGGGGAGAACAAGCAGTGCCCAAAGTTGCTGAGAACAGCACCCTGAGCCTCCCCAAACCTGCACTGCCCTGAGCCTGCCTCCAAACCCAGCTCCTCCTCACTGCCCTGCTCCCTGGTGTCAGTGTGCAAGGCTTGGTGACCATGGTGCAACAACCTCCACTCCTGAATTCTCATCTGAAAGACCCACCAAAGAAAATGCTGGTGTTGCTACAACTTTTAAATGACATGGGCCACCCTGACACTTCTGTACCCAGATGCCTGGCTTTGCCAGCTGAAGGGGAAAGCAAGTCCCCACTGTGCCCAAAGGCTGGTTGGCAGTGGGGAGAGCCTGACCTGGCTGGTAGGTTCAAGAGGGGTTATTTGGTGTGACTGCCTGTGTCATTTGTCTGAACATGCTTCAGGGCATCAATTAGCAGAGTGGCTTTGTCCTGACCTGCTGTGCACCATCCAGAGATGGAAACATGTCCTAGAACATGGAAACAACCTGCCTCGAGTTTTTTCTCTTCTTGTTTCTCTCTGTGCGTAGATACAGAGATGTATTTAACTGTGGAAAGTGGGTTATTCTGCTCACAAATATCATGCAAATCAATGAGACACATCCCTGGTTAACTCAACTCAGTCAGCAAATATTGACAGGTACCCCCAAGGGCTATTTGATTTTTAGTTTTACATTCCAAGGGAATGGTTGGAGTCTCGTTGGGGGGGTGTGTCTGTGTGTTTCTCCCTCCCCCAACCCCCCACCTCTCTCTCCTCATTCTAATCGATCTGAATGTCCTGGAATCCATATGCAAAAGCTTTCAAACAAGCAGTGTTTGGGAAGGTGCAGCAGAGATCAGGCTTCATCCCTGCAGCAGGAGGCTGAAGTCATGTAAACCAGGGGGTTTGTTGCTGCCCTGATGCAGCTGAGCCTGGGATGCTGCTGGAGCTGAGCTGGCCCCTCCAGCTTTTGGAAGGTTACACTCAAGGTTGGTGGAAGAATTCATCAGGCAACAAGCCCTGTCTGGCTGCCTTTCCCTCCAGCACGTCTGCTCTGTGTGTGGCAGGAGGGGGTTTGTAGCATAGTTTACCAGGCTGGCTCATCTGCAGGCAGGAGCCCTGGGTATCAAAAGGCTTGAAACGGAACCCGCTGCCCTTGGCGGGTGTGGGATCGTGTAACTGATCCTGCTGGGGGAGCAGGGATCTGGCTGCTGACCTGCCCAGGCACTGGGGTGGGGCTGTGGAGCAGATGGGCTGGCCTGGTGTGCAGCCAGGGTGGCTGTTGTCTCAGTGGCAGTGCTGCAGCATCACTGGTGCGGCGCGGGGGGCAGCCCCTGGCGCTGGCACGTCCCTTGCCTCGGGATCCCTGTCACACATTTTGGTGTGTTCTCTGGGATCCCTTCACTCTTGGCTGGGGAAGAAGCCATTGTGGGGCTCTGGCAATTCCTGGTGACTGTCTGCTGGCTTTGCTTGCACCATCCTGGTCCAGTCAGTGGTTCTGGGCCAAACTGAACAGTTGTGGGTGCCACAGTATAAGGACATCGAGGTGCTGGAGAGGGTACAGAGAAGGGCAACAGGGCTGGGGAAGGGTCTTGAGGAGAAGCCTTATGAGGAGCAGCTGAGGGAGCTGGGGCTCTTTAGTCTGGAGAAGAGGAGGTTGAGGGGAGACCTTATTGGTCCCTAGAGAGGCAAGTGCTGATCTCTTCTCACAAGTAACACAAGGTAGAACAAGAGGAAATGGCCTCAAGTTGTACCAGGGGAGGTTTAGGCAGGAGATTAGGAAAAATTTCTTCACTGGAAGGGTTGTCAAGCACTGACACAGGCTGCCCAGGGCAGTGGTGGATCCACCATCCCTGGACATGTTTAAAAGCCATGTAGATGTGGTGCTGAGGGACATGGTTTAGCACTGGACTTACTAGTTAAGCTAATGGCTGGACTTGATGATTTAAAAGGTCTTCTCCAACTGAAACAATTCTATGATTCTATGGGTCAAAATCCAGTTTGCACCAAGCTTGGGGCAGATGCTTGTGTGGATGAGCAGGGAGTGAGTGTCAAGATCTGGGCCAGCTACTCAGTGTGGACCTGACCTAATGGTGTCTTCATGAGAAGACACAAAAAGTGGTGTTAGAATTGAAGGGAATGGAGGGATGAAGGAGGTGCTGGCAGGTGTGCACTTGTGGTTGTGCAAGTCACTGTAAGTTTCCACACTTCCCAAACCTGTGTTGTCTGTGACAGGTTGAAGAGATGCCCGTAGTTCCCAGGCTTTGCTGTTAGTATTTCCCTGCAGGAAGGGCAGGTTTCCCTGCAGTCATAATCCCTGGATCTGGTGTTTCATCAGAGCCCTGTGCCCACCTTCCCCATGTGCCCTTCATCCCAGTGAAGCAGCCAGTGAAGTTGGTCAGTAATGAGCGAAATGAAGGGCTTGCACTAGTGCCAAGCTGTGGTGAAACATTCTTGGAGCCACCTGCCTCCAGGACAGGCACAGGAACAGGCCACAGTCCCCCAGCACCATCCCACCAG